TTGGAAAATTGCAACTTTATGTGTTATAATTTCGGGTGATAAAAATGTAATTTGCAACAAGAGATTGTGAAAGGAACTGTTCTAAATTCGTACCGATCATGACAAGACTTCCTGCTATCCTGAATGTCATCAATAATAAGTGTTGCGTTACATTTCAAGCGAGAAGCTGGATCATATTTCACTTGCAAGGAAAACACTCCACACGCGCCTGGCTTGCGAAGTTTAGCACGTATCGCCGTAGAAACATACATATCTTCTACACAGACTGGTCGATCAAACGGTATTAAACGAACGATATGGTTCTTTATAGTTGAAGTGTATCCTGTCCGATATTCAAAACAAAAGATTTATTTTATAACGGGATCCTTTGTCTTTGATTTCCCAAACATCGCCAACATGTGTAAACAATAGTACTATTCTGACTGTAAAAGCACAGGATTAAAACCCGTTATGGACTGGCTATAAAATTCATTTCATTTACATTGCTGAAACTCAACGATCAAGAAAGATAATGTCGAAGTGTAGCTAGCTATCTGTTATCACACAAACGCCAAGACTCCGTACATGCGTTTCCGTGCGTGCGGTACAACTTGAATATCTAGGACGATATATGCACCAGACACTGGTATTGTACTTTATATAAATTATTTCATATTTTGTATATACAGTAATTTGCAACATGTATAATATTAGACCTTTCATTGACATTGGCATTGTCCATTGAGGGCTTTATTGAAGAATAATCCAGCTTCTTTAGACTTGTATAATGGATTAATGCCGCTGTGAGTTATCAATATTTAAATCAACTTTAATCTTTATCGTATACTGTAATCGACATTTTAGAAGTTTAGTCTGTTTTACCAAACAATACTGGAGGCAAACAACCTATCTATCAATGGAAACTTTAAAGGGTTGTTACAGTAAAACTCATTAATATAAGCGAGACTTCGTGTGTATATACAGTTTATGAATTATGTATATCCCTGATAAAACGTAGGACACTTTATACCAGATATAATAAAAAATACTTTGCTAAACCTTTTCGGCTGTCATTCCTTTGCATTTAAGGGGAGAGGGTAAATGGCGATAGAATTTATAGGAGATGCTGTGCAATATTTTGGCTTCAACAGACAGGTACTCGTGCAGACAAAAAAGGAAATTCATGCAGTTTTGAATTGTCGTATGTCAGCTGTGCACTGTCGATTTCGAACAATTTTGTACGTTATATTTTGTCTTCCTGGTGTTTAATATAAACGATGATAACCTTAGTAAAAAAATCTAGAGCAATATGTCTTTAAACAGTTTTAGAATCAATAGAATGGACATTCAATGTGTACTTGGCTTGTGTCCAAATGTGTCACGTTTAAGACCGGCAAGGCGCTAATCCTACGACCTATAAACAGTCGCTTTTGAGACATCTGTTTAACAAAATTTATACCATGTCCATATCAGAACAATTCATTGGCATATTATAAGCATATTATAAATATCAGAGCCAGAACAGAAACGTATGCGTGAAATAAAACTACGCCCTAACCGGCGAACCCCGAGAAAATAAAAATATTACAAAGCGTACAGTCATACGTTCTCGTTGCTTGATTTCCTGAATTTTCTGTTGCTATAAGAATCTGCATTTTAGCATGTTTGTATGATTTAAAAGCAAACAGAAACCAATTTAGCAAGTAGTTTGAGGTATATATGATTCTTGAAGATGAGTTAATGATTGTACAGAACGGCCACTCCTTGCAATCGAAGTGCGGAAGTGGAAACATGTAATATGAGACTTTTCCATCCCCCTCTTGGGCTATCAATTTTCAATGGGTCACGTGACCAGCTCCGACCAGGGTCTTTGCTTCCCAAGAGCAAATAGCCTGGGAACGAGGTTGGGGAAATAAGTATTCCAACCGTTTACGCATTACTGTCCACGTTAAACACTTCTAAAGCAACAGGTTTAGACAAAATATCTTCTAGGTTAATTAGAGAATGCTCTGACTTAATTGCAGAATCCCTCTGTCTTATTTTTAATCGTTCTATCACTACAGGCATATTCCCAAACGAATGGAAATGTGCTAAAGTTATTTCTATATACAAACAAGGCAAACGCAATTGCGTTGATAACTATCGTCCCATTTCTATTGTTCCTATTGTGGCGAAGGTTTTTGAAAGGGTAATTTATGATCAGCTATATACATTTATAGCTGAAAATGAATTATTAACTAATTATCAATCGGGATTTCGAGGCCTACATTCTACTGTCACCTCTCTTCTTGAGGCTACCAACGAATGGGCTTATAATATTGACAGTGGTAATGTAAATGCTGTAATGTTTCTTGATCTTAAAAAAGCGTTCGACACTGTAGATCATGAAATATTGCTGAACAAACTTAATGCATATGGAATCAAGGGAACTGCGGGTAACTGGTTAAGATCGTATCTAAATGAACGTAATCAAAAGTGTTTTGTTAACGGTCATTTCTCCTCGAATCGATTACTACAATGTGGGGTTCCTCAAGGAACTATATTAGGCCCGCTTTTATTTTTAATCTATATTAATGATCTTCCTAATTGTCTAATACACTCTCGGGCACGAATGTTTGCTGATGACACTAATTTGACATATGCAAGTAATAACATACATGAAATTAATCATAATCTTAACGAGGATCTTGCTAGTGTCAGTGAATGGTTATCAGCAAACAAACTTACTTTAAACCAGACTAAAACTGAATTTATGCTAATTGGCTCTCGCCAAAGAATAAACACTTTTCAATCTACTCCTTTATTAGTAATAAATAACGTTCCAGTTAAACAAGTCTCTCATACAAAATCACTCGGCGTACACATTGATGAGAACTTATCCTGAAATGTTCATATTGAGAAACTGAGTAAAAAAGTTGCTTCCGGTATTGGTGCACTAAAACGCATTAGACCTTATGTTCCTTTTACCACAATGCAACTTATTTACAAGTGCTTAGTTCAACCATATTTCGACTACTGCTCTGCTGTCTGGGATAGTTGCAGTAGTTATCTAGTTAACAAATTGCAAAAATTACAAAATCGTGCTGCCAGGGTATTGACATCTTCTAGTTATGATACAAATGCCGATTATCTTTTCGAAAGTCTTGGATGGAAAAATCTTGTATCTCAGCGTAGGCTTGCCAAGGCTATCATGGTGTATAAATCCTTGAATGGTCTTGCTCCAGATTATCTTTCTAATATGTTTGTTGATCGCAATAGTATCACAAATTATGCATTGAGAGACACCAGTAACAAACTAGCTTTGTCACTACCGCGTACTAATTACTTGAAAAATAGCTTTAGTTATAGCGGTGCAGTACTGTGGAATTCTCTCCCTACTGAGTTAAGACAGGCTAGTACTTTACATAAATTTAAGTCTGACTGTAGCAACTTTATTCAATAATTTTTAAATATTTTATCTAATTTTATCAATTTAATGCACGGCACTCATGAAAAACAGGTAGTTTTGTAAATATGTATAGTATAATTTATCATATATCTAATTTCCTTTGTTACTTTATCATAAGTGTGTAAAATCCTGATGAGTCCACCGTGACTAAATAAAGTTCACAAAAACTTATTGCCCGGGCGGGATACATTTATCTAAAGCCACGTGACTACACAAATCAGCCAATCACGTTTGGTGTTCACACTAGCTATATAACAATACTTATTAGAGACCTCGTATATTATCAATCGTATGAATATAATACAGTCTTAGAAGTTGAAGACATGGGTTTTATGTACTAATTAAAAAACGAGCAGGAGTGTTTTATTAGGTCTAAAGCCACGAACGCGCAGCGCGAGTGGCTTTAGACCTAATAAAACACGACCCGCGAGTTTTTTAAATGACTTCAAAAACGTATGCATAATAAGTCAAATCTTTATATAAAAATCTTTATATAAAAATCTTTATATACTTTATATAAAAATCTTTATATAGTTTGCATAACAATGGTCTTTTGTTAAAGTGTTCTTTAGCTGGTATAAAGACGTATGCACGTGACTAATTTCTTACTCAAGATTGGATAATTGCTTCATGAATTATTAATGAGTTTTTGAAGTTTGGGAAGAGTTCTGCTGAACCCAGTTTGAAGTTGCACTTGTTGCGGCTTGAAATGCAACCGTTGTATCTTGACGTGGAAATCTGTGATTTGGCGTTGTAAACAGAGCGATGACAATGTCTAAATTATTCATATATTGTAATTTATTCAATTATTTTCAATGATTTATTGTACTGGTAGCCGTTGCCGTCGCATTGCCGTCCTAAATCGTAAGGTCTCTACTATCTATCTAAATGACAACTTGACCAAACAATGCTGTAACACTTGTATTATACAGTAGTAGTAGATAATGTTGCCACAGGACTTTATGATGGACTTTATGGCACAAGTCTTTATTATTTATTTAAAAGATTCATGGTTTCTGATTTGCTAACAGCCAACTGTGAAATTGTCATATCAACTCAATAGCTGACCAGATACGGAGTTTTGACGTAATATTAAACATAGTGACGTCATTACGTTGGTATGAATAAATCAAACGATATGACGTCATGCTGTGGAAATACGAAAAGTGGAAACGAGACAAATGGCGCCGTCTTATGCCGTGGGAAGCAACCTTGAAAATGTAAAGTAGAAATACGAACGAGAATAGCCATGAAAGGTTTTGGCATTAACATCTTAACGTACTTATGAAAGAAAACAGGAAACGTTTTCTGCAAATCGGAAAAAGAAATGGTCATTATTTCGACAAATTGAACCCACAAGTAAAATAAATAAATAAATATTGAATTCAATTTTCGCCAGATATGAAGAATTATAAAGCCCTTCTTTTGTCATATAAACACAAACTTCGGCCCTGATAATTATTAATATTATACTCAATAACTGTAAGTATCGAGTCATTGTTAATGGATTGATTGATCGATCTATGTACAACGATTTATGTATTTATTGATTGATCACTTTATTGATGAACGTTCAATCAAATGAGCAAAACAGTACCTTCTCTTCTTCTTCGTCTTCCTCATCCTCTTCAGATTCCAAATCATCTAAATCATCTTCTAGAGCACTTCGCTTAAAACATGAGAAGAATTTTATCAGAGACAGTTCTTAAATCATATACAGAGTATTCCAGGGTGTGAACCACATTCAAGAAGTATTTCGCTTAAAACATGAGAAGAATTTTATCAGAGACTGTTCTTAAATCATATACAGAGTATTGCAGGGTGTGAGCCACATTCATGAAGTACTTCGCTTAAAACATGAGAAGAATTTTATCAGAGACAGTTCTTAAATCATATACAGAGTATTGCAGGGTGTGAGCCACATTCATGAAGTATTTCGTTTAAAACATGAGAAGAATTTTATCAGAGACAGTTCTTAATTCATATACAGAGTATTGCAGGGTGTGAGCCACATTCATGAAGTATTTCGTTTAAAACATGAGAAGAATTTTATCAGAGACTGTTCTTAAATCATATACAGAGTATTGCAGGGTGTGAGCCACATTCATGAAGTATTTCGTTTAAAACATGAGAAGAATTTTATCAGAGACAGTTCTTAAATCATATACAGAGTATTGCAGGGTGTGAGCCACATTCATGAAGTATTTCGCTTAAAACATGAGAAGAATTTTATCAGAGACAGTTCTTAAATCATATACAGAGTATTGCAGGGTGTGAACCACATTCACGAAGTATTTCGCTTAAAACATGAGAAGAATTTTATCAGAAAGAATTTTATCAGAGACAGTTCTTAAATCATATACAGAGTATTGCAGGGTATGAGCCACATTCATGAAGTACTTCGATTAAAACATGAGAAGAATTTTATCAGAAACAGTTCTTAAATCATATACAGAGTATTGCAGGGTGTAGATAGATAGGTAGAAAAACTTTATTTATCCACGCTAACCCTGTCAACCGAGGCTGATTTCCACAGGGGGCGTGTAAAAAGGAATTACAAATATAGTATAAGGTATTTAAAGCTATTTACAATCTATAATATCAACTAAGTTATATAAACTATAAGTAAGTCATATATATATTTACAAGTATTTTAGGTTTTCAGTTTCTTAGGATCTTGTTTTTAGTTAAAGAATGTGAGTAGCAATTTTATTTTCAAAACTTTTTATTTTCAAAGCTTTCCCTAATTTCATTTGGAATAGAGTTACATAAGTGAGCTCCGTTATACATGAAACTATTTTTCATTTTATTTGTTCGAGGTTGTGGTAAACAAAGACCACTGGAAATGTCCCGAAGTTTGTAATTTGTCATCCCACTTTTATAGGTGAATAGTGTGATCTATATCGTTGCTCATACTCATGATAATTCGAGCAGCTCTATTTTGAAGTTTCTGAAGTCGTTTTGACTGTGTTTCACCAAACACATCCCACACTTCACAACAATAATCGAAATGTGGACGAACAATAGCATTATATATTGAGATAAGTGTATCTCTATTAACAAAAGGTTTAACACGACGGAGAGCAGAGATTCCGGATGTTATTTTCTTGCAAATATTTTCAGTATTACTTTTCCAAGATAAATGCTGGTCAACTATTATTCCAAGAGTTTTGCATTCATAAACTTGTTTAATTTGTTTGTTTTCAATAATAATATTTGGGTGAAAATTTTTTATCATTCGTTTTGAGCCAATCAACATGAATTTAGTTTTAGCTACATTCAAGCTAAGTTTATTGGCCATCAACCAGTTTCTAAGATTTTCTAGATCAGAATTTACTGCAATTTCAACATCGGTCATTGAGTCTCCAGAAGCTGTGAGACTTGTATCATTAGCAAATAGGCGAGGTCTTGTATTATCAAGGCACTCGGGTAAGTCATTGATGTATAATAAAAACAATAATGGTCCTAAAATAGAACCTTGTGGTACACCACATCTAATTAAGCGCTCCGATGAAACAAATCCATTTATTTTGCACTTCTGGCTACGATTTGTGAGATAGGATTTTAGGGAAGAAAGAACTTGTCCTTTTATTCCATAAAACTCCAACTTTTCTAGTAGAATATTGTGATCAACAGTGTCAAATGCTTTTTTTAAATCAATAAAAACTATTAAGTTAAATAGTTTTCTATCTAAATTTACATACCACTCGTTTGTGCAGTCTAGTAATGCTGTGGCTGTTGAGTGAGATTTCCGGAAACCAAATTGTGAATTACTTAATAATCCAAATTTGGTTAAATAATTGTATAGTTGGTTATACAGAATTCTTTCCATGATTTTGCTTATTGCTGGTAAAACTGAAATTGGCCTGTAGTTTCCTGGAATATTTCGTTGGCCATTTTTATAAAGAGGTGTTACTCTAGCCATTTTCCATTCATCAGGAAAAGAAGATAAAGTAATAGCCTGATTAAAAATAAATGTCAGTGAATCTGAAATGGCAGGTGCAGCTATTTTAATAATTTTACACGAAATCTTATCAATGCCGGTCGCTTTATTGGTTGATAATCCACATAATAAATGAACGATGTCATTTACAGTTGTAGGTTGGAATGCAGCAAATTCTGATGTAGCTTTTTTGACATATGCCTTAAAATTGCAACTGGACGTATCAATTTTACTTGCTAAATCAGGCCCAATATTTGAAAAATATTCATTGAAGCCTTCCGCAATATCCTGCGGATTGTTTAAAGTACTTTCACCCATATTTAATTCGTTCACAACTGTCTGTTTGGTTTGTTTGCCTAGTAGGTTGTTTATTGATTTCCAGGCTTTTTTGGATTACATTTTTGACCTGCAATTTTCATGGAATAATAGGTTTGTTTGGCATTTCTTAATTCAATATTAACCTGATTTCTAGATGTTTTGTAATTTATCCAATCTATTTCTGATTTACTTATAATTGCTTTTCTTTTTAATTTGTCTCTTTTATTAATAAGGTTTTTAATTTCACTTGTGATCCAAGGAACCTTGTTAGATCTAACCTTTTTTTGTTGGAGTGGTGCATGCTTATCTAATACTTCAAGAAAAAGTTCCTTCCAAATTTCCCACATAGCATTCGGATCATCGCCAAAAAAATAGACATAATCCCAATGCTGATCTAAAAGTTCATCTATGAACTTTTTTTCATCAAAATTTTTCATATTTCTTATTTCAACACAGTTTTTTTCATTTCTTTGCATAACTCGGATTTTTCTGATTGCAAATACTAAACTGTGATCGCTGATTCCGGTGTGAATAACACCACAATGGGAAATTTTTTCAGTGGTATTGGTAGTAATATGGTCAATAAGGCTAGATGTTGTCATAGTAATTCGGGTAGCTTCATCAATTAATTATAATTGGTATAACTCATATATTGAGTTTAGTTTTTTTGTTGGCATGTTATTAGAAAGCTTTTCCTTTTTTAACATGTCACAATTTAGATCACCCATCAAATACATTTCTTTATCCTCATCATCGATTTGTTTGATCAGCTTTTCAAAATGGTCAAAGAAATCTGATGATGCATTGGGAGGTCTGTAAACAGTTGTAACAATAAATGGACGACTGTGTGGTTTAGTAATTTCTACACAAACAGCCTCTAAATCAGATGAAATAAGGTCAGATCGAATTTTGTAATTGATAGAGCTACGTAAATATATGCAGACACCACCTCCGTTTCGCGATCTGTCTTTTCTAATTATGTCATAGTTATCTAAATTAATAAAGTCATCAGTAAAACTCGAATCAAGCCGTGTCTCATTAAATGCAATGAGATCGATATTTTTGTTAGACATTGAGTGCCGAATTTCATCTATTTTTTTAGGCAGACTAACAATATTTAAAAAGGCCATTTTAAAACCTCTTTCATTGGGAATTGAGTTAAGGGTTGTTGAAAAATTGCTACTCACATTTTTTCGTTCCGCATTACTACAAATTACTGGTGTAACTGTTGGTATACATATCTCAGATACATTGTCCAATCTGTTCTCCGAGAGGCATGAGTTAACTGAAAAAACTGCTCATTGTCATTATTTGAAGTGTTACTAATTGTTCTGCTCTGCTTCAGGTAGGTGCAGAATGCACTTCCTAATGCTCTATCTCCACTTTTATTTAAGTGGAGATTTGATCGATTTAACAGCGGTTGCTCAATACAATCATTATTAATTAATGCAATCTTATGCTTAATGCATAAATCATGTAGTAGGTTGTTGTAACGAGAAATGTTGCTGGCATTAAACTTTGTTATCATACCTCTTTACAACACTGGAGACGGCAACTTTCTTCGTATGGGCTTTGACTCTGTCAATTAGGGTCTCCATCTCTTCAGCGACTTTCTCTGGTTGCTTGTGTACCAGGTCATTGGTACCAACATGTAGGATTATTTGCTCATACTGGTGATTTTCGCTCCAATATTCCTCAATCTTCTCTTTAATTTGCCCCCACTTTTGCTCCGCTGTACGAGTGGCAAACTGTCTTCTTTCTGGCAGCTCTTTCTAGCTTCTTGTAGTCAATATTTTTGACCATTGAGTCACCTATCAGAAGAACATTTCTTTCTTCAATCGTATTCTGAGCTGTTTTCTTTTTGGCTTAATCAGAATTTTGATGCTTGTTTTTTTTTCAAGTTTTGAAATTTAGAACTTTGTTTCTTTCGGTAATCGGAGATTTGATTGTCGGCGTTCGAGGTGTCATCATGGGCAAGATCTTCTACATGAAGGGCTTGATAGCGGTTTGGACTTTCGACTGAAATTTTGTCGGCTTCGGACTGTTCGGTTTCTTTAAGGCCATGTTACACGGTGCAATTTTTCTTGCAACTTGCAATGCAATTCTACTCTTGAGAGATGTTAATTAGTGAAATCAGTGAAGAATTTTCGATATGTTGAGAAAACATCAGCGGAGTGTAATGAAGACTCGTATTTGGCAATTTTACATCTCTCAAGAGTAGAATTGCATGGCAAGTTGCAAGAAAAATTGCACAGTGTAACATGGCCTTTACTCTTTCCCGTGGTTGTCTCAACTTTTGTCCATTCGTGTTGTTTTAAGTCAAGAACACATCTTATCACTTTGTTTTCATCTGTAATTTCTTCAACGGTGGTCTTAAGCGATGCTAATTCCGCCGCCATCTTGTTATTTTGATCGAGAAGGACTTTTATCTTCGCATCGGTTTCAGCTGTAATTTGGCATTCCACGTCTTGTTTGTTTTGGATCTCAGTTACCACAGCTAAGAGTTTAGTTATGTCTTCCTTGTATATGTTGCATTGTTCACAAGCCTTGTGAACAATGCAACATATACAAGGAAGACATATGAAGCGTGTTTTTTTTCTCGTCCGATTCGGTTGTTGTTGTTTTGTCAGCCTTTGTATCGTATTCGTAACTCGCCGTGGCCATATGCTCGGTTTCTTCTTGTCGATTTTCGTCAACTGTGGACTTCGTAAGAGTGGCATAGCTTCTCAAAGTGGTATACAATTGATTTTCGTCGTTATCTTGCATAACAGTAATCTTTTTGTCGGTTGTTCCATCCCATTTCAACGAAAATTCAGGATTACTGAATTTAAAATTTTCGCCTCGCGGTGTTGACCATCTTCTGTAATTCGGTTTCAACAAACCTTTTTAATGATTCTAAGTCGCCTTCCAAATCGCTTCCAGCTAATGATAACAAAGAACATTTTAAGATTTTTGGATCATTATCGCCGTCTTTAAGTGTAGAATTTTCACAAGATGAGGAGCACGTGGAAATAGTACTAACCGCCATCGAAATCGTTATTTGATGGCGTGTGAGCCACATTCATGAAGTATTTCGTTTAAAACATGAAAAGAATTTTATCAGAGACAGTTCTTAATTCATATACAGAGTATTGCAGGGTGTGAACCACATTCATGAAGTATTTCGTTTAAAAAATGAGAAGAATTTTATCAGAGACAGTTCTTAAATCATATACAGAGTATTGCAGGGTGTGAGCCACATTCATGAAGTATTTCGCTTAAAACATGAGAAGAATTTTATCAGAGACAGTTCTTAAATCATATACAGAGTATTGCAGGGTGTGAGCCACATTCATGAAGTACTTCGCTTAAAACATGAGAAGAATTTTATTAGAGACAGTTCTTAAATCATATACAGAGTATTGCAGGGTGTGAACCACATTCATGAAGTATTTCGCTTAAAACATGAGAAGAATTTTATCAGAAAGAATTTTATCAGAGACAGTTCTTAAATCATATACAGAGTATTGCAGGGTGTGAGCCACATTCATGAAGTATTTCGTTTAAAACATGAGAAGAATTTTATCAGAGACAGTTCTTAAATCATATACAGAGTATTGCAGGGTGTGAACCACATTCACGAAGTATTTCGCTTAAAACATGCGAAGAATTTTATCAGAGACTGTTCTTAAATCATATACATAGTATTGCAGGGTGTGAGTCACATTCATGAAGTATTTCGCTTAAAACATGAGAAGAATTTTATCAGAGACTGTTCTTAAATCATATACATAGTATTGCAGGGTGTGAGCCACATTCATGAAGTATTTCGCTTAAAACATGAGAAGAATTTTATCAGAGACAGTTCTTAAATCATATACAGAGTATTGCAGGGTGTGAGCCACATTCATGAAGTATTTCGTTTAAAACATGAGAAGAATTTTATCAGAGACTGTTCTTAAATCATATACAGAGTATTCCAGGGTGTGAACCACATTCATGAAGTATTTCGCTTAAAACATGCGAAGAACTTTATCAGAGACTGTTCTTAAATCATATACAGAGTATTGCAGGGTGTGAGCCACATTCATGAAGTACTTCGCTTAAAACATGAGAAGAATTTTATCAGAGACAGTTCTTAAATCATATACAGAGTATTGCAGGGTGTGAGCCACATTCATGAAGTATTTCGTTTAAAACATGAGAAGAATTTTATCAGAGACTGTTCTTAAATCATATACAGAGTATTGCAGGGTGTGAGCCACATTCATGAAGTATTTCGTTTAAAACATGAAAAGAATTTTATCAGAGACAGTTCTTAAATCGTATACAGAGTATTGCAGGGTGTGAGCCACATTCATGAAGTATTTCGCTTAAACATGAGAAGAATTTTATCAGAGACAGTTCTTAAATCATATACAGAGTATTACAGGGTGTGAACCACATTCATAAAGTATTTCGCTTAAAACATGCGAAGAACTTTATCAGAGACTGTTCTTAAATCATATACAGAGTATTGCAGGGTGTGAACCACATTCATAAAGTACTTCGCTTAAAACATGAGAAGAATTTTATCAGAAAGAATTTTATCAGAGACAGTTCTTAAATCATATACAGAGTATTGCAGGGTGTAAATCACATTCATGAAGTATTTCGCTTAAAACATGCGAAGAATTTTATCAGAGACTGTTCTTAAATCATATACAGAGTATTGCAGGGTGTGAGCCACATTCATGAAGTATTTCGTTTAAAACATGAGAAGAATTTTATCAGAAACAGTTCTTAAATCATATACAGAGTATTGCAGGGTGTGAGCCACATTCATGAAGTATTTCGTTTAAAATATGAGAAGAATTTTATCAGAGACAGTTCTTAAATCATATACAGAGTATTGCAGGGTGTGAGCCACATTCATGAAGTATTTCGCTTAAAACATGAGAAGAATTTTATCAGAGACAGTTCTTAAATCATATACAGAGTATTGCAGGGTGTGAACCACATTCACGAAGTATTTCGCTTAAAACATGAGAAGAATTTTATCAGAAAATTTTTTATCAGAGACAGTTCTTAAATCATATACAGAGTATTGCAGGGTATGAGCCACATTCATGAAGTACTTCGCTTAAAACATGAGAAGAATTTTATCAGAGACAGTTCTTAAATCATATACAGAGTATTGCAGGGTGTGAGCCACATTCATGAAGTATTTCGTTTAAAACATGAGAAGAATTTTATCAGAGACAGTTCTTAATTCATATACAGAGTATTGCAAGATGTGAGCCACATTCATGAAGTATTTCGCTTAAAACATGAGAAGAATTTTATCAGAGACAGTTCTTAATTCATATACAGAGTATTGCAAGATGTGAGCCACATTCATGAAGTACTTCGCTTAAAACATGAGAAGAATTTTATCAGAGACTGTTCTTAAATCATATACAGAGTATTGCAGGGTGTGAGCCACATTCATGAAGTATTTCGTTTAAAACATGAGAAGAATTTTATCAGAGACAGTTCTTAGTGTGAACCATAACATTCGGGAAGATGTGAACCATAACATTCGGGAAGTACTTCGCTTAAAATATGAGATTGTATCACCTATTATGTTACATTACAGGAATTGTTGATTGATATTTAGGACAGGAACTTGACAAGCCTTTGTGTGTTTTATAGTAACACTAATTTTTTACAGTATTCCCTAAAAATTTTACTTTAAAAAAAGATATCAAATTTACTCAACTTAATTCTAGCTTTCATACTTACTCTCGGTTCCAGCTGGTTACTGCTCTCTAAGAGATGTCGTTTCTAAATGTTGAAAACATAATTTTGTTATTGTAGAAAACATTTTTGGAATATTTACGCGAACAATGTTGTTGTCCTAAGTAGCCAATATTAAATAATGAACATACAGAACATGACAAAGTTGGTGAGATTTCAAGATAGTCGCCACGGTATTTGCAAACTACACAGTTTATCAATAATAACAGTTTCATCGAGTGATTCAGTATTGAATCAGTACAGAAGTGTAAATATTGACAGTCTAATGTTCTTGCATGTACAGTACAGTAACCCCCAAATTAGTGATTGCCACAATACAACAATTGCCTCATTTCCCACAAGTTATTGTCCATCTACATATATAGAGGAACATGATTTTTTTCTGTGTTGGTGTAATGTACTCAGGTGAATATGATGCTTGTGATGTTACTCAGAGCAGGGGCGCACATCTAAGGAATTATTCCGAAACTTTGCCTCCGAATCTTAGTAACGGAATTACGGAATATTATCAAAATAAATGTATCGACGTATATTTATTACATGAATTTATAAAATCTCACAGTTTTCTCACATCACAAAAATTCCCATGTTTGTAAAAAATCCCCTCCCCAGCATGTCCTGAGCATGTCTCACAGTTCCTATGACAACGGTGTTTCCACTTTTTTATATATAAATGTCAATTTCCAACACCCTCCCCCCATGCGACTCACAAGGAGTCACATGTTATACTAGAAAATCCCAATGTCTCAATGTTAATTGTCATTCGTCCTCGTCATCCAGTTCAAACAGTTCCTTATTCTTTGCTTCTGCTACGACTGCTGCTCGCCGCTTTGGTTTGAATTTTTTCGCATTGGTATTCAATTTCGTCTCGCATTTCCCCACGTCGCATTCCAGTTCCAAAGGATATATCAGTTGAATCGGTCTTTCTATAGTCGATTTAGCGCATTGAAGCTTAACTCCTCTGACAACGTTATCTTTCCCACGAATTAACTTCGTAACTTTTCCCATTTTCCACTTGTTTCTGTTCTTCTCGTCGCCTTTAACCAACACAATATCTCCTTCCTTGGGACCAACTACAGTTGACTTGATGATGGTCTGATGACGCTGCCGTAAACTCGTCAGGTACTCTCTTTGCCATCGTCTCCATAAATGGTTCTTTACGCTTTGCAAGTACCTTGCCCTCTTTCGTAGATCACCGTCCTCAATATGATAACATTCTAGCTCTGGCACAACATTCGACTGTTGTAGCACAAAGGAATTTGGTGTAAGAATAGGAAATTCAATATCATCCTCTAAGTAGCTTAGTGGCCGGTTATTCATACAGATTTCTACATCTAGAACAACTTCCGACAGCTCTTCAAATGTCAAAAGTCCTTTGCCGATAACCTTGTAAAAAGCACATTTGAAAATTCCGATTAATCGTTCAAATTGTCCGCCCCACCAGGGCGCACGTGACAAATTGAATCTCCACTTGATCTCATACTTGCTCAGTTCACTGTGGAATTTCTCATCTTTCATCACCTTGTTTAACCATGAGGCAGCCGCTTGGAACGTCTTCGCGTTGTCCGAGTAGATAAGAGAAGGTCGACCTCGTCTGGCGATTAGTCTTTTGAGACTTCGAAGGAAAGGGGTTGTTTCAAGACTCTTCAGAACTTCTAGGTAAACTCCCCGAGTCAAACTACATGTAAATAGGACTAAGTATGCTTTCCCTTCTTGGGTTTTCTTAACTCTATATGTGATTGGGCCGGCGAAATCGACTCCGATAACTTTATAAGGAGTAGTCCCTTCCGTTCGCGTTGTTGGTAATGGTGCAGGTGTTGGAGCTTGATAAGGTTTGGTCATAAACTTCTTGCATCGTGCGCATCCCTTTCGCGACTTTTTTACTAGGCGACGGAGGCGAGGTATCCAGTAGTTCTCACGAATCTTCGCCATCGTCAAAATAACTCCCCCATGGAGCGTCTTTATATGAGCTTCTTCCACAAGTTTCACGGCAAACAACGAATTGCCGGGCAGGTAAATAGGAAGTTGTCCTTGTACTCGTCCTTTGCACTTCAGAATCTCGTTCGCATCGGCTTGTAGGTTTAACTGAACAGAATCATTTTGACATTTTGAATCTTCTTTCGCCTCTGCTTGTACTTGTTTCATCCACCATAGACGTTGTTGGTCAATCTCATCGGTTGTTAATGGACCACGTTGCCTGCTGTCTACGTTCACGCGACTGTTGTCGATGAATCTCTTTATCCATGCACCAATTCGTAGGGTTTTTGTCAATGAGTGTTTCCTCAGAATATCTCCCAGGATCGCTGACTCCACTCGTTCCACACCTACATTGAGAATCGCTCTCGTTGCTTTGGATTCACTCTGAGAATCGGCAGATGGTTTGACAACGAGGTTCGGTGGCCAATGACTACGATCTGGCAGCCAAGTAGGACCCTTTAACCAGAGCTTTGTGAGTTGACCACCTCTGCTTCCGAGGTCAGCCGGGTTCTCTGTTGTCGGTACATGATGCCACTCGATTCCTTCAGCATCTCGAATCTTTGCTACTCGGTTTTCCACGAACTGCTTATACTGGCCTTCTCCTGTGATCCACCACAAAGCTACTGTGCTATCTGACCAGCAGTGTTTCTCGTGTGGAATATGACAAAGAGCTCTGCTTGTATTGTTGACCAAATTGGTTACCATGTGGCATGCAACAAGTTCTAACCTTGGTATGGTCAGTCCTTTCTTCGCAAGTCTTGCTTTCGCAGCTAGTAACTCTTTAGTAACACCAGATGGTTGTCTTGCAACTGTGTACACCGCTGCACACAGCCCCTCACCACTGGCATCTCCGAACCCATGAATCTCCAATTTCTCCACCGGCTCTTGGAAAGGTGCAATTGGTCTTGGCACAGTCACTTCGCTCGGCAGGTTGTCTTCCCATTTCTCCCACCGCTTTTTAATCGCTCCTTTCAATTCTACATCCCATGGTAGCTTGTGGTCACATACTTCTCGGTAGACTTGTTTTCCTTGCAACAACAGAGGTGAGGCAATTCCTATTGGGTCGTAAATCTTAGCTAACCGACTAAGGATGCTTCGCTTCGTAGGATTCTCGCTGTTCGATCCCAGTTGCACACTTAGTGTATCGTTCTCCTTTTCCCATTTTACGCCCAGGATCTTTGTTTCTGTTGGCTTCACACCGAGCTGTTGTTTTGCCGCTGTTTGTTCCTCGCGATCTTCGTTGCTGTCACTTTCTCCGTCCAGTTCGTTCGCATTGGATGCCCATTTATGAAGTGAAAAGGTTGCATCACCCAATATATCAGTAGCTTCAGACTTGCGCTGTTTTGCTTCACCAACAGTGTTACCCCCCGAAATAATGTCATCGACATACAGACTCTTCTTCAGCGTGTCGACTGCTTCTGGAGCTTTGCTCTTCCAGTAACTTAAGTGCGCTTCCAAAACTCCGCCAAGCAGGAATGGCGATGATACCAAACCAAACAATACTCTGGTGAACCGCAATACCTCCACATCAGCTAGTAGGTTTTCTCGCCAATGAAATCTCAGCGCATCTCTTTCACTCTCTTTTACACGGATCTGGAGAAATGCTTTCTCCATGTCACCTGTGATTGCTACTGGGAAACTTCGGGCTCTAACTAGTATCTCCCAAAGTTTGTTCTGAAGAGGGGGACCCGCGTAAAGACATTCGTTTAAGGATGGGCTTACAGGAGAGGCTTTCGCAGAAGCATCATATACAACTCGCAGCTTTGTTGACTGTGCCGACTCTCGTACAACTTCCTTATGGGGTAGGTAGAATACTTTTCCCTTCGCTTCGTTATTGGCTGGTTCCACAATTCCTTGTTGTTTCTGCTGCTCGATCACTGTGTTGTAGTCTTCGATTAAGTCCTTTCGTTGCAGGCGACGTTCCAAAGATTGCAATCGGCGGATGCTTCCCATTTCATTTGACGGTAGTGGTGGGTGGTTTCCACGCCAAGGAAGGCCCGTCTCATACCAGCCCGATGGAGATCTAGTCAATTGTTCTTTGAACTCACTGTAGACCATAGATTGATCATGCTCAGCTGTATCTGCAAGTCCCAACACATCAAGGCGGCACAGGTCTTCATAATCTTTCTGGGATGTTTGAGTAAGAAGCATCGTGTTGTGGTTCAGCTCTACACCAGGGCTCATGGCGAACCACCCAAGTTTTGTCTTCTCAGCAATTGGTTGACCTTCGGTTCCCACTAGAGGATTTGTTCGAGTTTTTATCCGCGCGTACTCACCACTTCCCACCACAACATGAACAGGTAATTGAGATTTCTGGTCGACATCAATGAACTTTGCTTGTTTAAGGTGATCAAATTCACTTTGTAACTTATCGTAATGAGGATTGTCAATAGTGAGTAGTTCCCCCTTCTCGACTTTGATCAAATTTACATCCATTGCATAATCACCGTCCACTGACTCGACTTTCGCTTCATATATATCCAGCCTGGTGGTTCTAGATATCAAAAGCATGTCAATTTTTGAAGTTCTTGACTCGATCGGTTTCACATTAAGCATGGAAGCAAGTTTGCCAGATATGTATGAGCTACCAGCGCCAGAGTCTATCAGTGCTCGACATGTTATTCCATTCACCTTGACTACCACAACAGGGAAAATTCCTTCAGCTGTGCTTCCACTTGCAGTTAACACTTTTCGTTCAGCAGTGGCTTTGTCATCTCGATCTTTGGCATCACATATACGCCTTCGCAGTAGACACATACCCTTGTGGCTTTTGTTTGATAGACTTTACCAGGCTTCCCAAATTTCCCTGATGCATCCGACTCCTTTTCATAAACAGGATTTCGCTTGGTCCACTGTCTGATCGCTTCAGCAAGTTTTGCAAAATCCCAGCTTTCCCAGTCTGGGTCATCCCTTACCAAGTCACCCCGTATAGCTGGAAGCTTATCCAATGTCATGGAAACGTTTCCTTGAACATCCTTCAGTTTATTTAGTGTCTCAAGGGCTTGAACACCATAATTCAATTTCTCACTGAATTCTGCTATTTTCTTTGGGTTGGCTCCAGAAATGTGTGGCAAATCCATGATCTCTTTAATATAGGCTTTGACAATCTCCGGAGTTTTGCCATATTGATCTTGCAAAATTGACTTTGCCCGGTTGTATCCCTCCGCAGTAAATGGCAATGACTCTACCCGGCGTTTAACTTTTGGTCCCAGAAACCCACACAGATATGTAAATTTGTTGATAGCAGCTATATTTGACTTATCCACCGTCTCTGTGAATTGGCCCCAAAATCTTGGCCAATCCATGTATGACCCATCAAATTGCACAATATTAATTTTAGGTAATCTCACTGACATACCTTTCATGCCTTCCCCCGTCTCAGTTTTCGAGGTGTTATGCCCCCCCGGGTTTGCATCCTGAATTTTAGCTTGCATTTGAAGCTTTGTTTCTCCCAATTTCACTTCGAATTTAAGTTGTTCCTCTCGAGCGTAGTTTTCTTCTTCCATCTTTTTGCTGTCTAGCCATTGTTGAAGTCGATTTACTTCGTCTTCAGCTTCACCTATCTTCGCTTCGATTTCCGTATTCCAGTCGCTAATTTCTGCTAGGTCTTCTTTCTTACCGATTTTTTCAGCCTCAACCGTACGTTTGCACTGATCTGTTTCGCTTATTGTTGTTTGAGTGCCTTTAAATGCCGTTCGATCGTTTCTCGTTTTCCAGCATCAAGTATTTTCCCGGTTCTTTGCGCCGTCAATCTCAACTGAGTGAGTTTTGTATCGAGTTTCGCTTCCTCGTTCGCCATAATAAATTGCTCGCTAGCGTCGAAATAAATCCCAAAATATCACAAATATATCTTCGTCGGTAGGTGCCACGTATTCCGAAATTGTGCCTCCAAATAAGTACGGAACACGAAATGTATTTTATAATTTAATAGCAATAAACTATACTCCCAACTCGCTGTTTTAAAATCCCAAGTCACAGTCCCAACATTGTTCACTCCCCCCTGTTTTCTCGCACGTGTTCAGCAATCCCCTACTAACTCTAAATGTCCATCGTTGTCCTTCAAAATACACTAATGTATAAAGCAAAATAACGTCAATTTCCAACAATACCAGCATTCCATTTTTCTGTTGCCAAATAATTCTGTGTTACAATACTCAATAGCTATTAAAATGGTGCAATTAAATACAGAACTTTTGTGTGGAACTTCCCATGCATACTGCAGTATCTTTCAGCTCATAATTAGAGAACTTTAGTTTGACATTTACGGCTAACGCCAAACCGCTAACGATAATTGTGATTTAACTACGCTCTGGTAGAAATTACACTAATTTTGTTACACAATAAACATCCTGCACAAAGCTCATGACATTTAAGGTAGCCACTACTAACGTATTAGCCACAGTGGCGGACACTTTACGAAATTGTTGGGAGGTTCCATGCCAGCGTTCGGAAAAATTTTTTAATTTGAAACCCGGAAATGGCAATGCAGCATTCTGAGAACACATTTTGTAAAAAACTAGGTTTTCAAAACACTGTTTTAATGGTGCGTTTTGTTATACGTAACAAGCTTTCGTTGATAATTACGGGATGCAACTACTGGTACCTGAAAAGTACAAGGGGAATTTCGACGTTTACTGAGCGAAGGCCCTTCGTCTTCACTCAGAACATTGAAATTCTCCTTATATTTTTCAGGTAGTTGCATCCCTACCAACAAAAGCTAATGTTCATGCATATTAATCTCACTACCTACATTGGCACAGACAGCGCTCTACACCAGTACAGGCAGTTCACCATTATACCTAAACCTATTCTGAATAAAACGTAGGGAAATAACCTGCATGAATACAAGGCCATTAAGCCATTAAATAACGACACAAACTAGTGTTTTAACAGACAACTTTTATTAAATAAATTAGTCTAGCTATAGTTCATGTGAACAGCTAAATGCATAATTATTATAGCAACATGCACCCCAAAATTAATTCCAATGTTAATTAATTCCAAACAAAACGCAGTGCTCCGCCAGTTGTACATTGCTTAATTCCTACACCTCCTTGTTTGTAGAATATCGGATGTTGTTAAATATAACTAATTGTTTGAACCTAATTTGGTTGTGGCTGTCTCAAGTTCTCAACCATATCAAAGTGACCGACGTAATCTCTGTGACTGACATTTTTTTTGCGCCACCCGGTATATATATATATATATATATATATATATATATATATATATATATATATATATATATATATATATATATATATATATATATATAGTATATATATATATATATATATATATATATATATATATATATATATATATATATATATATATATATAAGTATATATATATATATATATATATATATATATATATATATATATATATATATATATATATATATATATATATATATATATATATATATATATATATATATATATACATATATGTATATATATATATATACATATATGTATATATATATATATATACATATATGTATTGCGCACGCTCACTGCTAGCAGTTTGAGCGCTCTGGCATGGTTTTGATGTCCCACAATCGTGAGGCATCAAAGGTAACTGTAAATAGCAGTTACTTTCATCCTGCTCATCAGCACTACACTGATGAGGCCCATTAGGCCGAAACGGTACAGATCGGAAGTTAGATATCGCTCTATGGCCTTTTAGGTCATATTGAGCGCTCTACAGGATGAGCCATGCCGCTTACGCATTGCGCACGCTCACTGCTTGCAGTTTGAGCGCTCTGGCATGGTTTTGATGTCCCACAATCGTGAGGCATCAAAGGTAACTATAAATAAGAGTTACTTTCATCCTGCTCATCAGCACTACCACTGATGAGGCCCATTAGGCCGAAACGGTACCGTCTGTAGTTATATATGTATATATATACCGGGTGGCGCAAAAAAAAGTTCACGCGTTTGATTTAGTACAGCGAAAAAACTATAAATGTTACATCGCTGAAATAAACGTAGCTGTATTCATAAAAGTCTAACTTAAATTTTGAGCTATAGCATGTTTATTTACGTGCAATATTGACTGGGATATCGCCAAATAAAATTTGGAACGAAGTTTTGAAAATCTGACAAATTGGCTAAAAATGGCCTATTAAACTGTTTTGATAAATTTTAGAATTTCGTCAGACATATTCGCTTGTATGAATTTAATTTGAATTGAAACGTGTAACGAATGATTTTCCTTATTTATTTATTTGTTTTATTATCATTTGAAAAGCAACAAAATTTCGAAAAAGATGGCTCTTTTAATTAAGAATTGCTTCGCAGTATTCCATGTCCCATAGCTACAGGGAATTAAATTAGATCAACAACCGAACAATTTGAGACAGCTTCGTGAAGCGATTATTGCTGATTGCCAATACTTTGACCAGCAAATAAATCCAACGTTAATTCGTTCGATAGTATGGTCACACGTGCAAGAATATCAAGTTATTTAATTTTCCATGATAAACGCGTTATTTACTGCCGTTGTGTTCTTCATATATCGTTAATTCCTTTACTCGTATTTAATAGGCTATTTTCAGCTAATTTTGGAACCTTTTGAAATTGCATATTCAAATTGATTTACCAATATCTTGGGTAATACTAAACAAAAATGCATGTGTTATACATCAAAATTTAAGTTAGGCCTTCCTGGATAGGATAACATTTATTTGAGGAACGTAACACTTATAGTTTTTTCGCTGTACTAAATCAAACGCGTGAACTTTTTTGCGCCACCCTATTTCTGTTTGATAGCTTCACTTGTTTAGAAGTTATTACAAGTCAAACCGGAGTACTTTTTTTTGGGACACCCGGTATATATATATATATATATATATATATATATATATATATATATATATATATATATATATATATATATATATATATATATATATATATATATATATATAGTGAAAAGAGGCGTAAGAGGAAACAAACATATATCCGTCATGAGCACATAACGTGTATGTTTGCTGAATCCGTGTTAATGTTATAGCTGCCTGAGTTTTCAGTGGTTTATAGTGGGTAACAGTTTGATAAAAGGAGTATCTTTTGCATATATACGCATATACGCACTCAAAACTAATGAATATACTTTTCAACCTGGCTACATGACCATATTCAATTTTTGTAATTGTTGTTACGGCTCTCAAGCAACATGCAAACAAACTTAAAAAGTATATATGGTGCTTTCTCTATAAAATTATATGTTGAAATGAAGAGAGATGGTACGCTGATGTCTGCATGAAGTTCTGTATAAGTTTTGCTTGTGTTGCTGTATAAATACATAGCGTGTACACAATCAGTGATAATACACGCTTCCGGAAAGTACGTCACTTTGGCTATAGGGCCTCGTTTTCGTGTATCTGACATCAGTTAAAGGCCGCGTCTCAATCACGAAAACGAGGCTCTATAGCCAAAGTGACGTACTTTCCGGAAGCGTGTATTGTATTTAAATTGACAATATTTAAGAGGCTGTCTCCGTAAAAACCTCCATGTCAATATATGTCCCAAAAATAGATTTCTCTCATACTCTAGTATTTTGAAAATCTATCCTTGTGAACAACTAAAATCGATTTCATTTTGACTCAAATTTCCTTTAAATTATTTTTGTGGGCGATTGATGTTCGATCGGCTGGTAACCAACTTGAACTCTGAATGAAGGCAAAATATCGACATATTTTCAGCGCTACTTTTTAAATCAAATTCATACCTAAATTTCAAAATTTTTGCTCAGAAATATGGACTTATAAGCTTCTATTTTCGTTGATGATATGACTTAGATAATTATTCTTTGATATAAAATAGAAAACAGCGCAGTTATCGGACCCTCTAGGCTGCGAACAGGCTCTCAAGCTGAATTGAGAGCCTGCATCGTAGCCTGCGTAGCAGGCGTTTAGTGCGGGCGGGAGAAGAAAGGGCGTCGTTAAATAAACGCCTGCCCAAATGCCTATGAGAAATTTGTTCTTCTCCGAAGAATCTTCGGAAAAGCTTCCCATTGGTTAATCTCGTTAACGGAAGTAATTACGTAACTCAAATGTCAACAACAATTCTGCTCGCGTATCGAATAGCGATAGCCGTATATTTCGCATAAAAAATAAGCCTGTTAATGCTTTGGAGGAAACTCTTTCTTATATTTCAAGTATTTAGGCTTCGAAATTCAGTTGAAACCAGAACAGAGAAAGTCTATTATTAATTTGCTACGTGGTGATCGAAGACGCCGGTTATCGCGATTCTTCCTACGGAAATACGGAGAAGTTTGAGTTTCAATTATACATTTACATCGGCAAATTATTTAAGCTTGCTACATGCTATTTTAATAGCTCTGATCATCTGATGCCAGCACGAGCAGAGATCGAATATTTCTTATAGTTGTCTTGATATTTGTTGAGGCTACATTACTTGGCATTGCAGCTATGAAGTTGGACGATGATTTTATAAAGAATATTAACATTTCAAAACAGGCTAACTGTTAATGG